TAAATATAAACAGACAGCCAAACTACAGACATTTGAAGAAAGCCAGAGACTAACAAACAGGAGTGGGGGAGGATCTGAGAGCTGATAGTGAGAATAAAGTCAGCCAAACAACGTTTAAAAAGTAAAAGTTAATACATGCCAAGAGTTCACCAAAACCTTACATCCATTATATATATATATATATATATATATATATATATATATATATATATATACAAAAGAAAAGAACCTTATTTTAAAAAAAGGAATATTCATGGAACAAGAAACATTTCTTGGAAATTAAATATGTAGTAGCAGAAATAAACAACTTGAGTAGCAGGGTTGGAAAGTGAAATTAAACAAACTCTCCCAGAAAGTTGAACAAAGAAGACAATTAGAGGATGTTTTCAGGAAGTTGGGATGTTCAGCTAAGAGCAGTTTCAGAAAAAGCATGACAAAAACAGTGAGGAAGAAATCACTGAAGAAATAATAAAAGAAAGTACAATAGAACTTCACAGCATGAAAGTTCAAACAGAAAGTCTCAGCGCGACTACTGATAAGAACTTAGCTAAAGCACATTATCATGAAATGTAAAAATACTGAGGATTAAGAGAAGATGATAAAAGCTTTGAGAAAGAAAACAGACTACATATAAAGGATTAACAATCACCATGCTATCAACTTCCCAAGTGGCAATGGGCATAGAGACAATGAAGGAATGCCTTATAAAATACTGAGGAAATATGGGGCTTCCCTGGTGGTGCAGTGGTTGAGAGTCCGCCTGCTGGTGCAGAGGACACGGGTTCGTGCCCCGGTCCGGGAGGATCCCACATGCTGCGGAGCGGCTGGGCCCGTGAGCCATGGCCGCTGAGCCTGCGCGTCCGGAGCCTGTGCTCCGCAACGGGAGAGGCCACAACAGTGAGAGGCCCGCGTACCAAAAAAAAAAAAAAAATACTGAGGAAATATGATTTCCATCTTGAAATTTTATTCCTAAATAAACTAACAATCAAAGGTGATGCATATTACCACCTTTAATATATATATCCGGGGTGAAATACATATATGTATGTATGTATATATATATATAAAATTCCTGGTTTGCATATATATATTTGCATGCAAGACACACATTCTAAACTTCTTTCTTACTCATAAAACTCTGTTTTGACTGAAACACCAAAGTATACAACTAAAGATATTTACTTTTCTATCTTCCCATGCAGCGAGCAGTGGCCCTGTGTCACAGTCTAGCCAAAAGAAAATCTACTATAAAGGTTTCTGGAAATACTTTTATTTTCCCAATAAAATAGATTTGCTGACTCTGCTTTTTGCCTCTTTTGCCTTATTACGGCCTAGAATGCAGATATAATGCCAAAATGTACAGCAGCTATCATAAGACCATGAGGCATTAAGCATAAAAGCAAAAGCCAACATGTAAGTATGGCAGACACAAGCAAAAGTAAAATCTCGGGTCCCTAGTAGTATCACTGACTCGCTACACCAGGTACTACACCGTTTACTTCACAAACGCTTGGGATGTAAAGATGAAAAAAAAATTGCTGTACAGTAAGTCCCCTACACCCGAACCTTCAAGCTGCGAACTTTCAAAGACACGAACATGGGTTCCACTAACGTCAGGCGTGAGTGAAACTGCAGCTTGCCCTCCATCTCCTATTGCTGACAATCCTTCAGCTCTGCCATCTCCCACCTCCTCTCCCTCCTCCAGTCAGTAACTCTCCTTGCCTGTTCACTCGATGCCAGCCCCTGTATGCCAGCTGTTGTACTGCACTACTGTACTTTTCAAGGTACTGTACTGTAAGATTAAAAATGTTTTCTTTATATTTTGTATTTTTTTTTTTAAGTATTATTTGTGTGAAAAGTATTATAAACCTATTACAGTATGGTACTATATAGCCGATCGTGTTAGTTGGGTACCTAGGCTAACTTCATTGGACTTATGAACAAATTGGACTCCTGGAACGGAACTTGTTCGTATGTACGGGACTTACTGTGGTCAGGTTTTCTGTTACTTGCAATGGAAAGTATTTAATCATTCCTAACAAGTTATCAAAAAAATTTATCTCCCACATGCCCTTTTAGGAAGTTACTAGAAGATGTGCTCCACAAAAATAAGGCATAAACTAAAAAAAGAAAGTTATGGTGCTCAGAAAACAGGCGATCCAACACAGGAAGGATGTAAGAGGCGTTTCCAGCATCTTGGCAAGAGAGTAGTCCTGAGACAACAGACGACATGCAAGCCTAAAAAGTAACCAGTTCACACTGGAGCAGGAAGAAAAGGGCTCCAAGAGAGATAATACCAAGAAAAAATAGTGAATAGATTACCTGATGTGTTTGATCATATTGGAAGTTTACTGATTCCCCCGGAGGGTTTGGAGGTAGAGATTGGTACACAAGAAACAAAGCAAAACGGTGGGGAAAAAAAATGCGAAAACAAAAACAAAGCAATGATTAGCTCTAGGAAAAACAAAAAGTTGAAAGAGGTATGAAATGGAATTACAGAACACTGTGTGGCTCAACCATAAGCAATATTTGCTTCATGGTACAAACATTAAATATTGTTTTTTTATTATGGCGGTATTATACTGGAAAGTCAGAAAGAAGAGAAGCCAGTGTGGATGGAGTCGTGAGCATGGGAGAGAGTGGTGAGAAAGGAGATAACAGAGGAAAACAGGAAATACGTTATACTGAGGTTTGGATTTTCTTAAGAGCCCTAGGAAGCCACTGGAGAGTTTTAAACAGGAAACCAGCATGATCCAACTCATGACTGAGACTGATGACTTTGGCTGTGGTGCTGGGAAGAGTACATTAAGCAGGGACAAGAGGGGAAGCCAGAAGATGAGTTAGGAGGCTACTACACTAGGGATAAGAGGCTCTGCAGAAGAGATCAAAAGAAGCGGAAAAAAACCGGCGGAGGCTGGGGAAGGCCACTTGAAACAGGGGGAAGTGGGTAGATGAGAATACATTTTGGAGGCTGGTGGCTTGTGGAGGGAAAGGAGAGACTCAAGATGACTTTCCAAGTGTTTGCATGAGGCATCTGGAAAAGGCAGAGGATGTTATTACCGAGTTGGAAAGATGGGGGCACGGGGTGGAAAATGGATTCAGGAGTAGAGAATTTGGGATCTAGGGTTCTGTTTTGGACCTGTTAGAGCTGAGATGCCAATGAAGGGTAACATGCAGAGAGACAAACCCCAAATATGCTCTGCCTTCAACAAGTAGTAATTCCTCCCTTTTTCTTACTAACACAAAGAAATGTTTCATTATATGCTGTGATTTGGTGCACTGATTGATTTAAAACTCCATACCGAGAATCCAAGGATAAACAAGCAGTGAATCCTGGGATATCACAGTATGTAACCCATTCTAAATGTTTAGGCTTAACCGGCTTTCTATTTTGAGTCATATCTATCGTAAGGAAAAACCACCTCTACCAAAGCTGCAGTCATAAAATAATAAGTCCTTCCCCCATGAAATAATTTCCCATTATTAGCTTGATTTAGTAAACATTTTCCTCTAAAAGAAAAAAAGTATTGTTCATGCTCAGTGGACTTCCGTTTATGTGTACACAGCTTGTGTCAAGTCCAAGGCCACCTCAGGCGCACTTTGAGATTGTTTCAGTTTTTTAAAAGTTCTTTCTCAATAAATACTCAAAAGGACCCATTTGTACAAAAGTCTTTCAAAACATTTTTGACAACTATTATTTTCACCTGCAGGTGATAGAGTTTTTTAACTAAACAGCCAGCAGTATTCTTTCTTGGCGTTCTCATTGCTTCTTCCTTCCTTTGAGCAACCTTTTTACTTAATCATTAATTCCCAAATTGGTCTTCATTGCCATGTGGATTTTATCGAGAGCTGGGTTTTAGCCACATTACAGTAGATGCGGTGGGGTACGGAGGTGCGGTGGGGTAGAGGGTAGCAGTGGCAATTACAAAATTAAACGTACCATAAGGTGGTAACGGTTCGTGATTGAGGCCAGTTGTTGAAAAATAATGCCTGTTACATAGAATCACAGAAATTTAGAGCTGGAGGCCAAGGCAAGTCTTTCATTGGTAGGTCGACAGCGCCTCTAGCGGCAGAAAGACGGCGCTGGTGGTGACGGCGACCGGCAGAAACTTCCGAATTTTTAAAAAGGCACCTGCTGTTTGAGTTCTCATTGTGCAAAAAGAAAAGATCCACAGGTACCCATTTAAGGGGATGCAACTCGGGAAAACCTAGATCTATAAAACAGCTATAATAGCTACACTTTGGCTTAACGTGGAAATGAGTTGTCGCTTTACACAAGGTTGATTTAAGCGACTATTTAGCTGAGAACCTGACGGAGTGGCGGGAAACAAAGATTCTGCTCAAATCTAGCCGCCACTGACAACTACGCAGGTATCCGGAATTAGACAGGGAAAGAAAATTAAAGAAGTAGGCAAGAGAGTCCATTTTTTAAATGGAGAGCGCCGTGGAACGCCGCAGGCACACCTGTGGGCACGGGGATGGCTCACCTGCGCGGTTACTGTGCGTCCCCCCAAGCGTATCCGAGGGGGTGCAGGGGTGCACAGGAAACCTCATGGAGGGCTGACCAGTCAGAGATTGGGGGATTCACTAAGGGACAGGGTAAGATGACCCGACGCGCATCATCCCGGGCGACACGTGTAACTGTCAAGACAGATACCCTGGCAAATGATCCCCGAGATGGGAGGACACGCGGCAGCGGCCCCGTGGCTGGGCCACCAGGGCTACACGCAGGCGGCTTCCAGGCCCGGAGCCAAGGGCTCCCTCCTTCCCCCGGGAATTGGCACCTGGGGTGGGGGCCGGGGGGGGCGGGGGTCCCCTCCGAGCCTGGAGCCCGAGCCCGGGGGCTCCGCAGCTGCGTCCCCGCGCGCCGGGTCGCGGGGCAATCCCGCCACTCGGCGTCCCCCCAGTGCGGCGCGTGGTGCCCCCGGAGGGCGAGTCCCCAGCGGGCGGGCGGGGACAGCGGGGGACCGGCGGGGAGCCGCCTGGCCTCGGCGACTTACCTTGGGCCGCGCGCGGCGCCAGCAGAGCCCCGGCCAGGGCGAGCAGGAGGGCGCGGGCGGGGGGCGCGGGCAGCGGGCGCGCTGCCATCGTCGCCGGCCTTCCGTGCAGCAGCAGCTCTCGGGGCCGGGCGGCAGGCGCTGCACCATCCCCCGCGGGCGCCGAGCGGGGGCCGGGCGTCGCGGCCCGAGGGACTTCCTGCTGCGGGGAGTCAACTCCGAACCCCTCGCGCAGCGCCCGGCCGCTGAAGAGCTAGTCTAGGCTTTCATTTTTTTTAAAAAGTTTTCCCCGGCGCGTGTGTGTGTGCGTGTGTGCGTGTGTGTGTGCGCGCGCGCACGCTGTTCTGGCACGAGCCAGCCTTGACCGTTGCAATAAACGAGCAAACTGTCCGAGTTGGCCCGGGGACGAGGAAGATCGTTAGGGAGAGGAGGCAGGCCTGTGAAATGGATCCACAGCCAACAGTCACCGTTCTCATCACCACGGAACAAATTATGGTCTCCCCCGCACCCCCGCCCGCCCGCCCGCGGCGTCCCGCGGGTCCTAGAGACCGGTCAGGGGCCCCCGCCAGGGTCCCGCCCAGAGCCGGCTCTGGCCCACCCCCGGGGCGGCTCGGGGCAGGGCGCCTCCCGGGCCGCGCGCCCCGGCGGCGGCACAGACGTGGCTTGGTGGCGGCGCGGGCGTCCGGAGCGCACACATCCCCGCCCCGGGATGATGTGGCCGCGGGGCCCCGGGCGCCCGGCTGCCAAGAGCACACGCGGCTGCACCGTCCAGCTTTCCAGTCTGAGGCTGGAAATGATGATTCGGCTGCTCGCTCCCGGAACGCGGGTAGCAGGTCGGCAAGGCTGTCCGCCGCCCAGGAGGGCGTCCCCGGGCCCCGTCCCCTAAGCCCCCAAACGGACATCTCGTGCAAGAGAATGAACTTGGACCTGCAGGCACGCGACGTCTGGGCATTCTGCTTTAGATGCACACTGCTTTAGGTTTTACGTTGATAGACTGGATCAAGTTTCTCCTCCGTGGCAGGACCCAAAAATAAAAGCGCACGGCGATTTCCCCCAGACTTTCCTGATCGTGAGAAACGTCTGGGTTTGTCTGTTAAGAATACAGAGTCCCAGGTGCCCTCCCACGCCCTTGAAATGAGCCTCTACAGACCGCGGGGCCGGGGGCCACCCGGTGTTTGGAAAACACCAGTGAAGTGAATGGAGGGCCTTGCCTCCCAGTCCGAGTTCTTGGCGGTCTCCTCTTCTGCCTAGGAAGGCCTCAAAGAGACATAATAGCAATTTTAACAACGGGACTTGTTAAAGTCCCGAGACCTCTCCGAGACCGCGGGAAGCAGCAAGGAGAGGGCTACACAGACTGCAGGAGGGGTCGAGGATGGGTGGCCCCCACCTTGTGGAACCACCATGATCCCCAGCCGTGGCCACCTGTCAGAACCCTAAGGGCTAGGGAGATATTAACACCGCCACTCGGGTTAATCAGAATCTCCAGCTGTGGACGGAGCCGGAATAGTTTCCAAAGCCCCAGGTGATTCTCATGTGCAGCATGGAGGGAGAACCACCTGCAGAAATCTGTCCTGTGACCTCCCACCGATTTCTGAGGGAAGCCCCATTCCAAGAGGTGTTTAGACAGCATTTGAGGGAACTCTCTTCCTCACCATCTCTTTTTACTGCAAAGTGGCTTTTCTCCTATCTTCCTCCCACCCCCCAGGTTTCTGCAGTGTTCCCAAGGACCAGCTCAGCCCCTCTGAACAACGTGCAGGCCTTTTTTTAAAATAAAAAAAAAACAAAAGCCAGAGGCACTGGCCCCAGGACCGCCTTCTCAATGCCAGGACATCTCAGCACTCCATCTGGAAGCCAGGCCTGGGTCCAAGCCCCAGTTTAAATCCAGCCCTACTACTCACCCCTCTGCCTCTCCTTTCTTTGTTCATTCATTTGCTCAATCAGCAATTAGCAACGCTCTGTTAGGGACTTGGGAAACCAGACGGATGAGAAATACCTCTTGCCTCCAAAGACTCTTCTGTCTGGTAGGACAAACTGATCAGTCACAACTATTGAATGGTGTGAGCTGCTTACTTGGCCTCTTTAATAATCATTAGGTTGTTTGTTAACCACTGCGTTATTTATCACATATTCATATAATCGGAGTATTGTGATCAAGTGCTTCCCGTGCATTGTTTCATTTTAAAATCCTGAAGATCCAGATGAGGAAATTGCAGCGTCTAGAGGTTAAGTAGTTTCCCTGTGGTCACAGGACTAAGAAGTAGGTCAGAGCCCACACCAGATCTATCTGCAGATGCAGCCTGTGTCTTTAGTTCTGATGTCCAGGCTTCAAGTTTAGCAGCTGTTAAGTGAAAGTAAAATACAAACCTCCCAGGTGGTAGTGAGCATTAAATGAGCTAGGACGCCTCCCCAAGCCACGAGATTCCTGATGGTTGTTAAGAATTCAAATCCTTTGGCATTTACACTGGCGATCCCTCTTACAGAGGTCTGGGAAGGACAGTTTCAGCGAGTACCCAGGTGATTCTGATGCCCCTGTTCCACAGAACTTTCAGACACTGCACAAGAGAATTTTAAATTGTTTCCTTTGAGATCAATGAGGGAGACCCACTTTAGGATGAGCCCAGCTGCTGGCCTCTTGAATCTTTCTGACGGGTTAAATTGTTTACTCATAGTGGAAGTAATACACACTGTGCACTGGACCGGGGGGCTTTATACACTGTCTCTCCTAACGGTCCATTTCTTTTTCTCCTTTAATATTCAGCTCTTGACTATAGAAGTCCAATTTTTTTTTTTTAAACCTGGAAGCTGCAAAGCTCTCTCCAAAGGGCTAAATGTGCCCCCAAGACTGTCCTTGGTTTGTTTTTGACTGAATGAAACCAAACAGTCAATGCAGAGGGAAAAAAGAAAGATAGGGAAGAAAATCCTATCCACTAGCCCTGGTTTCTCAACCTTCTAATCCACCATCTCTGTGAAGCAAGGAGCCTGGGCTGACACTCTATCCATAATGACTTCATGACCCTCAGTAACAGCCAGCTAGGCAGAGGGCGGATCCCATGTCCGGCAGATGGCCGGCCTCTGGCCGGGAACTCTGCCTCCGCCCCCGCAGGAAATGGAAGCTGACATGGCATTCAATACTGGATTGTTGGGTAATGGCATGAGGTCAGAGGCCAGGGTCTGCTCATTAAAATTTCAGATAGATGGCTTGCTGTCTTTTCCTTTCCAGAAAAATTGACCTTTGCAATACCGTTTCCTGTGTGCTATTTTTGCCCCGCAGCCTGGGCATTCACAATGAACAGGGCACTTATTTCTCACCCAAGCTCACATTTAGCTCAATCTGCTTTGAGTTCAAGCAGGTGAAAAAATGGAGGCAAATGTTCCTAAGGCAGGACGTTACAGGCAGCCTCTCCTGATTTCTGCTGTAAGGGAAGGGTCAGCCTCCTTGCCGCTCTACCTAGTGATGGAGCTGCAGACACAGGCTCGCAAAACAGCTTTTATCTCTCCAAGCACGGTTCCCAAGGCTTGCTGCAAAAGTAAACAAACACAATCGCCCCATGATTAAGATTCTTGGAAATCGCTTTAATTCCATCTCTTGGGGAGATTGAAACTCATGATTCTCTCAGCCTATAATAACATGAAGCCCACTTTTGTTTTCTTAGATCTTCTCACTTCAAGTGCCTATTATGGCTTCACCTCTAGAAACTTGCCCCCAAAGAGCCTCCTCTGGACAGATTAACCTCTCTTGGCTCTGATACTTCCATTATTGCACAGAATCGGTGCTTAAGTAGCCCATCTGAACTCCAAAGGAAGAATGCTCTTGGGGGGGATCAGGGACCCAAGGATGCTCAAGCTAGAAGGGACATGGAAGGTCACTTAGGCTGGCTCCCTTCCCCCATCTATACTTATCTGTGTCACCCTGTCAACTGACCGCCTTACTTCCCCTTACGTGCCTACTGTGGTACGGAGCTCATTACCCACCAAGAGAGCCCATTTTAAGTACCGTAAGTGATTGACAACACCCAAGAGGAACAGAGAGCCACATGGCCAAATTGCCAGCTGCTCAGATAGCCCCTTGGCTGCACTGGTCCATCCACTCCCACCATCACTAGGACCGGCAGAATGAAATGACAGTACTCGGAGAAAGGCAAACAGGGAATCTCAAAAACAAACATAACTCACAACACGAATGACCAGATATTTGTAGATCCCTTCTTCATTCAAGAAATAAAAGTTCATCTCCCTCCCTTTTCATGCAGGCTGGGCTTAGACACTCATTCTACTAAATAAAATAGGGCCAAAGTGAACGTCTGTGTGTTTTGAGACAAGTCCTGAAAAGCATGAGTGACCCAAATCACTCACTGGTGGTGGGGGGAAACCAGCTGCTGTGTGGTGAGGACACTCAGGCAGCCCAATGGGGAAGAAATGAAATGAGGAACTGAGGTCTCCAGCCATCGGCCACATCAGCTCACCGTCTTGGAAGTGGATCTTCCAGCCCTGGTGGAGTTTTCAGATGACTGTAGCCCAGGGCAGCAACTGACTGCAACCCCCAGAGAGCCCCTGAGGCAAACCCATCCAACTGAACTGCTCCTGAATTCCTGACCCACAGAAACTGAATGAGATAATGACTTTTTGTTGTTTTGAGCCACTAATCTGGGGGATAATTTGTTATTCAGCAATAGAGGACTAATGCATATTTAATAAAACAAGCATTCTATTATTATGTTTTTTCTAGCTTCCAAGGATTGCTGATGATTTCAATATCAAGGGAACCTCCCTTCTTGTCTTTGAGCTTTGAATAAGAGTTATAGATAGGGTGGCCATAGGTCCCAGTTTTATCCTAGCATAATTGTCAGTGGTGCCCCCGATTCACTTTTACAAGGGTCCTGGTTTACTAACAAATTGCCCTGTCATCCTATCTGTAGATATGTACGTCTTCTGTATGGTGTTTTGGGGGCAGAAAGGGGAGACAGGCACATAAGCTTCATCCTACATCTTGACTCTCTTCCTTCTAGGAATGATGGTTGAATGAGTGACTGAACTCACAGTGATGGATAGTACACCTAAGCATGCCAACAGTGATGGCAACCAGAGCAAGCTCTCCAGCAGTATGGAGTTTCACAAGGTTCTCTGAGTATTTTCACTACATGGTTGGCCAGTCACACAGTGATCTGATCGAAACTGCCACTGCCGGAAGTTGTAAGACATTTTTTACCAGGTGCCAAAGAACTTGCAGGCATTTGCTGTTGACTGTATTGTGAACACATCAACGAGAAAATGTGATGAAAGGTCATGGAGGAAGAGACCCACCAGAGAAAAGCAAAGATGCTCCCACTGTCCAGGCTGGCCACTCACTTGTAATCTGAAAAGATGCCTGGGCTCCCAGAAGCC